AAGTCCATGGGATTCTTATCACCAATTAACCAGCTAGAAGTAGAGCAGTGACTCAAGTGGTAGAGTGCTAACCTTGATCAGAAAGGCTCAGGGACAGCACTCAGGCCCTGAGTTCAAGCCTTAAGACTGGCACCCCAAAAATAAATTAATCCTCTCTGTTGCCAGTTCATAAGTTAGATCTGCAAGGTTACTCTGGACCCTGTTCTTAAGGGCTCTGGACTTAGTTTAATGCTTTGCCATCAATTTGAAATGTTGAATACCTTTTGAACATGGGGTTATACATTTAAATTTTTCTCTGGGTCACACAAATCATATAACCAGTCTTGCTGCTGCCGCCGCCATCACCTCCTCCTCTTCCTCCTCCTCTTCTTCCTCCTTTTCTTCTTCTTCTTCCTCTTCCTCCTCCTCCTCTTCCTCTTCTTTCCCTTTTCCCCCTTCTTCCTCTTCCTCTCCTTCTCTCTCTCTCTCTTTCTCTCTCTCTCTCTCCTCTTTCTCTTGTTCATTTGATTTATTTTGTTTGGGGATTGTTTGTACTGCGGATTGAACTCGGGGGCCTCAGCAAGTATTCTACCACTTGAATCACACACCCATCCTTGCTTCTTGTGATGGACATTGACATAAGGAGAAGGCTCATGCCATATGAGATATGCATGAGTTGTGTGACTTATGATCTATTTCTTCTGAACTCAGCAAGCGTTTTCCTGCAGAGACTATTCGCAAAAGCCACTAAGCCCACAATGGCTCCCTACTCCTTAGCCTCAGGGTCTCCATCTCTAAAATGAGGACAGCAGTGCTTACTCTTCCATGTTATAATCAACATTGAGTGGAATCATGCATAAAGTACCTATTGGAGGGCCTGGCGTATACTGGATGTTTGCCAAGTGAAACCTGGGAGAGACAGCAGGTGTAGCAGAGAGAGCTTGAACAAGAGTTGAGGTAGGTCAGGAACCGAATCAGCCTCACTGCTTAAAAGATAGTCTCTGACCTCAGTGAGGTGACTTATTTTTTCCCAGCCTCAGTTCCCTTATCTGTAACACAAGAATACCAATATTTACCTTGTAAGTTGGTATAATGTGATTTAAACAATTTAATGGATTAAAGAAATCTTGTTTGCTATCTGGCATTTAGTAGGAGCTCAAAAATGGATAATAGTTCTTAGCTTGGCAGCCTTAGTTTTGGTTTTTATACTCAAAAGCAATTCATTTGTGATGTTTGGGACACGGGTGTTGTAATACTAGCTTAAAAGGCTCAAAATGAGAGGTCTGCAGTTGAAGGCCAGCAAATGAGAGATCCCCATCTCAACCATTGGTTGGGAATTGTGGTGTAAGCCCATGATCTTAGGAAGTGGAGATTGGGAAGATCATGGCTCTAGGCCAGCCACAGGTAGAAAAGTCTGAAGAAGTTGGGTACAGTGTCATGTCCCTGTCATCCCAGCTACAATAGGAAGGCTAAAGTAGGCAGATACCAGTCTAGACATGTGCCTAGAAAGGAAGTAAGACCCTGTCTTAAAATAAGCAGTGTAAATGGGAGCTGGAGGCATGTCTCAACAGTAGAGTGTCTGTCTAGCAAGTACAAGGCCCCGAGTGCAAGTGCCAGCACCTTCCCAAATGTTCGGATAATACTGTATAACTTCCTACATACTCAGTGAATTACTAAATGTAACTTCCTTGCATACTAAGATAATTTTGCAGAAAAAATGTTAAGGATTATTTTTATTTCTTTGCTAGACTATGAATTTCTCGAAGGCAGGAACCATGTCTCGTTTACCCTTCTTTAGAACACTCAAGATCATGTTAGAATCTCAGTTGAGACTCTTTCTTCTGTCTAATATGCTGACAATGAGATGATGACTTTCACAATATTATTAATCCAAGAATTAGCAACCAGCTTATCTAGGAATTAATAACGAGTCTATCACTGTGTAGGCAGATGAAGGGTCCCAAAATAGTTCTAGCCTCATGGCTCACCTTGCCACCTTCCATCAGGGAATAATTTATTTTTGTGTAACTAAACACTTTACCAGGCAGCAACCTGGGGAGGAATCTACTGAAACCCCAAAAGAGGGGGGGGTGTCACAATTTGTTGTAGTATTTTTAAAGTTAATTAATTAATTAATTAATCAATCGCCAGTACTAAAAAATTAATTAACCAGTTAATTAACCGGTTAATTAATTTTTTTAGTACTGGAGATTGAGCCCAGGATGCTGTACTTGTTAGGCAGGTGATTTGCCACTGAGCTCCATCCCAGCCCCGGAGTCACAATTTGATGCTGGTTAGGACCTAAAGAGGCTCAGCACTGTGACTTTTGACCATATGGAGTCTTTGAATGCCTTTAAGAAACTTCTGATAGTTATAAATATTCTCTCCTGAAAAATACATTCCATGTCTGAGATGCTTGGGTGAAGAATTCTTACTAGAGTAGCCCAGAAAAATGGTTTTCTAAGGTCTAACCTTCACTAACTATGCTCCATTGCTGAAAACAAAACAAACAGAACAATTACAACTCCCTATATTTAACCTCAGGGTTGGCCCTGAGCATTGTCCCAGGCAGTAAGGCTAAAAACTTCCAGCCATGCAGTCACTCCTCTGTGGGAAACCTAAGTTCAGCTAGGTAAAATGAAGTCTTGTTTGATAATATCGTTTACATTTCCAAATCCTAGGTATCAAGCTTTGTTCCTATCCCTTGTGGCCCTTCCTAAGTTTAGCTGTTGGTGTAACGGGGTAACCATGGCAACAGCCACCTGCCTATTTAAAACCATCTCCAATGCTAAATAAGGAAGGCTGGAAAAATGGCTGCTTGCCTGCCTCTCTGTGGACAAATTGAGCACCCCTGAGTATTTTGGACACAGGCAAGCAGGCAGGATAGAAGTGGCAAAGATGGAAAGTTATTGGTAGGAAAGGTTTGGTAATCTTGGGAAGTATTCCTCTTATGCCTTCCTTTCTTGGGCAAGCACATGGATTTAAATTCAATTTCAGATGCCTGGCATTCTAGGTGACCTGAAAACTAGGTAAAGAGTGAAGCATGAATCTGATCTACAAATGTACTCAAGGGAGTTATACTGACCACAGTGAAGTCATTCATACTTTGCATTATACTACACGCTACCCTTTTTTTTTTAGAAAGATGCATCTTTTTAATTGTACTTAATCATGTGGATAATTGACAATTGTTCTATTCATGTCATATATTGACTTATCTATTGCTTTGGGGAATATGGAGAAATTTCTTCCCCTCTTTGATTCCTTGTTCTCTACAAAGTACAAAGATTTGGCTTCTTTCCTATGCCAAGACTAGAAGACAGACATACTGAGTGGTTTATTTTTCCCCAAGTGTATTATGCTATTACTTTTTTTGGGTGTAACTTTCTGTATATTTAGTTCCTTCACATTGGGGTTGCCTTTCTCTTTTTTCCAACCTGGAAATTACATTCTTGTTTTCTGTCTTGGATGGAGCACATCTGTCATCAGGTAGTTCTCCATGACAAGTTCTATGCTGTTAGCTTGATGTCATTTTAGGTCGCCTCCCTCTCTCCACCTCATTTTACACAGGCTGTCATGCCCATCTGCTTTCCAGCCATTTCCACCAGTGGGCTTGAGTGCCTTACCCTAGTCTCTCTCCCAAACCCCTAGGGAATAGTGTCTAGTGTGTAGTATGTTTTCAAAAGCTATTGCTGAATGCCTAAATAAATAGCAGGCACCGATTTTATAAGCATAGGTCCATCTCCACAGACACATGTGCATGTGTGTAAATGGAAACTTTAAAAGTCTAAAATGAGCAGAAAAGGAGACTTTTTAAAAAGTAGAAGGACTGAAAGAAGAATGAATGGAATTGCAAGCAGTGGTATTGTCCTTAGAGACTGGAGGAATGCTGTGTAGTAAGTGTATTGGATTTGTTTGTGAGAGGGAGCAAGAAGGGATGTGCTCAGAAAGAATGCACACCGGAGTAAAGTTAGTTCAGCTTCTATCATTCTCTATTACTCTTCCTGAGGTTGTTCTGATCCTTAACAAGACTTTCTTCTTCTTGCTTAACATCCCAGTCTAAGGGGCCAGAGCAGATGAAGAAAAAAAATGCCTGCCCTCTGGGAGGTTCTAGGTCCTACAAGAATGTCTTCAGACAACACTCTCACCTCTAGCTCTGTGGGCTAAATCAAGTCATCTCTCTTCAGGTTTAAAGATCAAACCCAAACTATTACCCACACTCCTCTTCATCTGCCTGAGGCCGGGAGTGGAATCCAGTGGTCCCACAGAAATAGTACAACAAAGAGGAAAGGGAAAGGAGAGAAATTAGCCAAGGCTAAGAAAGAGAAAGGAGGAAGTAGGGAGAAAGAAAAACCGACAATCCCAGTATCTCTATGTGAGTCACAATTCAGCTCCAGTATATTCCCTCTGGCTTTCCAGAAGGGTTTCATGTCATTTGGTTTTCTCTTTCCTTTGCTATTTGGATAGATGGCCCAGCTGAGGCAGGGCCTGGGTGGTCTCAGGGCTACTGCCTGTGCCAAGGCCTCTCTGATACTGCCCTCTGCTGTTGGGGAAGGCAGTGGCAATACCTACAGTCCTCCTGGCCCAAGTCCCATAACTGCCCCAGCTGGATCTTGAGGTCAAACAACGCTGACTCCTTTCCACCCTCCCTGTCCATCTGCAGAAGAAAGGTCCGGATGGGGCTGGGGGGTGAAGCATTGAAGGAATCAGCTGACCCCCAGAAGGGGGTTCCACTGAGCTAATAGCAGGCTCCTTGCCACCCACAAGTGGACTCACCCGCCCTCTCTCACTTCCAAATCCCTCCCCGTGCACAGATCCTCTGGCTGGGGACAGGCATCCACGCTATGGCAGGTTTCTGATTTTTTTTTTTTTTGAAATGGAAACTCTCCTTCCGGAGATGTGGCAGGAAAGCAAAGTCCCAGGGTGGCCTGGGCCAAGAACATTTCCGTGGCAGCAGGTGAAGTCTGGCTGGCTGCTCGCCGTGGTGGGGCTGCAGGGCAGCGGGCATGTAACCCTCTTACCTGCTGTTGAATTTTTCGGGGTGTTTCTCTCTCATCATGTGGAATCTGTGTGCAATGGAAGCATCCTGCAAAAAGACAAGAGAGCAGAGGGCCTGATCAGTGGCTGTGGCCAGGCAATGTGGAGGGGAGGGACGCATTTACACAAATTCTCCAGGTCACAGAGCAGGCTCCATGTCACAGCCTGGGGCTCTGAGCTGGACATCACCCTCAAAGGCAAGAGACTGGTGCCATCAGTACTCACAGAGCCTGCTCTGGTTGTCTACAGAGTCATGGCTGCCAATATCACATCCCAGGCCCAGGGAGAAGCAGATAGTTCATGGGGGGGGAAGAGGGAAGGGGAACCCCTGTCCTTGGAGGGGAAGAGAGTCTCTGAGCAGGTAAACAGCAGTGGCCTGTGTGTGAACATGAGACAGGATATGAAGCTTTGAAAATGTCTTACTGTGTCATGTTAATTAAAAATCCTTTCTCTTTCAGAATATTTTGGCTTCCAAGAAGTTGCAGAAGTAGTAGAGTTCCTACGTTCCTTTCACACAGCTTCCCTCAACAACAATATCTTACACAGCTATAGTATATTGGCAAAAGTCAGAAAGCTGATGCTGGCAGATGCTATTATATATTAAGTCTTATTCTTATCAGCAGAAATAACTAGTAATATTGGATAACATCCCTAGTTGACTATTTTTTTTTCTTCGTTGTGGGCTTAAACTCTGGACCTGGGCACTGTTCCTCAGATCTTCAGCTCAAGCTAGCACTCTACCACTTGAGCCACAGTGCCACTTCCGGATTTTTCCACTTATGTGGTGCTAAGGAATCGAACCCAGGGCCTCATGCATGCAAGGCAAGCACTGTACCACTGAGCCACCTTCCCAGCCCCCTAGTCAACTATTTAAAAACATATTAAATGTTTCTGCATCTTGATCATTCCATTCAAGCCTGCTTCCAAGGTAAATAGTCTCAAACCACATCCATGATGCTTTGCTGTCCTCTTATTGACACTTCCTTGACTGTACCATTGGCCAGATCTCATTGTGAGGATGGATGACTGTCATGATACCATTATTTCCCAGCTTTCCATCCTTTTGCCTGAACTGTCTAGCTCTAGAATCAACTCTGAGCTCCAAACCTAAAATTGAACCCAATCTTCCTCCTCAAACCTGGTCTTCTACCTTTTATAATGGTTGCATTTTTCCAACAGAAGAATTTGTACCACTCCCTTGTCATATAAGCCCTATGCCAACACATTGGGCACAGGTGCTGGGAGTCAGAAAGAAGCAGCCTAATTGGGCTGGAGATGGAGATGACCTAGAAACAAAGGAGCTGATTCAGATTTGTTTAAGGAACAACAACAAACAAAAAAAATAGAAACCAATTTGCTGGAATATGTGGCAAAAAAATGCCCAAAATTTCAGGCAGTAACTTTTCAGCTAATATATAGTCTATTTCTTCATCAGGAAAACTTTTCAAAAGATTATTTCTGAATGCCAAGTGGGAAAAAAAAATCTGCTCATGGCAGATTCAAAGCTAGCCTTGAAACTTTTCTCAAATTAACCAGCAAAGAGCCAGAAGCAGTGGTATAGCTCAAGTGGTAGAGTGCCAGCCTTGAGTGAAGAAGCCAAAAGACAACATGAGGGCCTCAGTTCAAGCCCCAGTACTGCTACATGTGCGCACACACACACACACACACACACACACACACACACACACACACACACACACACACACACACTTAGTGCAGCAAAGAAGCACGTACTCTGTCTGGTGGAATTGCCGTTAGTAGAAGTGACCGAAGCCAGCAGCTACCATTTGAAATTTGGGAGAATAAGTCAAGAAAGTAGGTTTATCTTGTGGTTGGCGAATACCATTTGGTGAAATAATGTCTTGGGAATTTAATAGCTAAATATCAGCTACTAATTTATTTTTTTATTTTTTAAGGCCCAAGGAGGAGCTGGGAAGGTGGCTTAGTGGTAGAGTGCTTGCCTACCATGCGTGAAGCCCTGGGTTCAATTCCTCAGTACCATATAAACAGAAAAAGCTGGAAAGTGGAGCTGTGGCTCAAGTGGTAGAGTGCTAGCCTTGAGCAAAAACAAGCTTAGGGACAGTGCTCAGGCTCTGAGTTCAAGCCCCAGGACTGGCAAAAAAAAGACACCTGGAGAGCTGAAGGTGTGGAAGAAGTTTCCTTGTACACTTAGGGAGTCTTCTTTGAGTAGGCCCAGGGAGTGTTCCCTCTCTCTCCACCCCTGCACCTACAGGGCAGGCACTTTCTCCAGACAGCAGCAATTCTGGCTCCCTGGCTGTGCCCCACCCCTTCTCTTTCAGCAAGTCTCAGTGAACGGGCTCAATAAGATTCATATGACATTTGTCAAATGCTTCTCTACAATTGAAGAAAACATTCCATCTACTATGTTCCTCTTGAAATAACCTCAGAGTGGAGAAGTCCACAGAGGCATGTTCAAAGGTGACAAAGGAGTCTTTATTAGTTGGAAACAATTGCCCTGTCCTGGACTTGGTGTCTCAGAACTAAGAGCAGCCCACAAATACACTTAACACTGTTAGGAAACAGGCCAGAGAGGAAAGAAAGAACAAAAACAATGCCAACAAACTAATTCAGCTCCAATGGAGAGCCGAATAGGGACACCATGGTGACTGGGGAAGAGCCAAGAGACAGGAGACAGGGCACGAACAGGGAGACATTTGGCATGGTGTAATGGGGCCTGTGCTGGTCTGGGCCTAAATAGGGTCAGGGCAGGGTCACAGGAAATTCCCAGTCCCAGGCACTGGACTGACAGTTTTAGTAGCCTACCAGTGAGATGCCAGCTCCTGCCTCCAGGAATTCAGGCACACCAATCACCTGGGGGTGGGACTTCCTTCCACTAGGAATTCAGGTGTGCCCATCACCTGGGAAGCAGGACTTTGCCTTCTCTCACTATGAAGACAAGATGCCAGACCTTACCATTAACCATGTGGCCAATATGGTGCATCCAGACATACCTCCCTACTTCACTCTGAACCACTGATTTTATTCTATCAGAAACAAAAGGAAAAAAGCCATAACATACTGCTTGGCATGATTTATATTTCACCACCTTCCCACCGAGCCCACAGTACTGGTTTCCATTCTCTGGGATATTGGCAGAGATAGTGCTCTCTCTCTCTCTCTCTCTCTCTCTCTCGCTAGCTCTCTCTCTCTCATCTGATTGTCCTTGTTTTTTCCATCACTAGGTCTCCCAAGGCTTCTTTTTCTATTAGTTTAGCATGTAGTTCCTGATTTGATGAAGTGAAATGTGATCCCTTGGCAAATACACAAAATGGCAGGCGAGTGTTGAGCTCTCACTGAAAAGCAGCAATGGCAAAGACTCTGACCACGTTTGTCTACCTGGGGATGGAAAAGAATCAAGATTCTTCCTTCTCTTCACCGTCTCGTGTACGAACCTCAACATATTTATAATCTGTAGTGATTCCATTTGAAATTTAGAAACCAGAGCTATGAGCAGTTCTGGTCCTTTTGTTGGTGATGATTATAGCAAAAAATAAATAAACAAATAGATAAATAAATAAAACACTTTTGAAGTGATGGAAAGTGCAGACTCAGGGGAAGCCATGATGGCCGCTCTGAACCCAAACTGCAAGCACATTGTTGGATGAAAGATTTGGGGTCCTTTTCAAATACACGCAACAGCTGTTATTTGGACTTTGAGATTTTAGAATTTCTAGGGCAGTGTTGTCCAATAGAGTTATAGTACATGCCACATATATAACTTAAAAGTTTTTAGTAAAAAAAACACAGATATTATTATTGTTGTTGTTGTTGTTGTTGGCAGTAGTGGGGCTTGCCTGGATCTTGTTCTAGAGTGTTTATTGCTCAAGACTAGCACTCTACCACTTTGAGCCACAGCTCCACTTCCAGTTTGGGGGCAGTTAATTGGAGATAAGAGGCTAATGGACTTTCCTGCCTGGGCTGTCTTCAAAATACAATCCTCAGATCTCAGCTACCTGAATAGCTAGGATTACAATGTGAGCCACCACCACTTTCCAGCTATTTTTCATAAAATATTTTAATTAATACAATATGTTCCAAATATTTTCATCTCAATGTACAATCATTATAAAATATCTTTGGCATTTTATTTTCTTCACACTGTATGTTTTTTGAAGTTGGATGTGTATTACACCTAGAGTGCACACACCTACTTTAGAGAGTCTATTTCAAATACACAACAGCCACATGTAGCTCATAACTGCCATGTTGGGTAAGGGCAAAGTCATTTGGGAGACTTCTGAAAAGGACAGAAAGGAGATAATAGGTCAGATGATTGAGATTTGCTCAATGTAGATAACCAAATGGGAAAAAGGGCCGCCCGCTTCTTGCCCAAGTTACTCCTCAGAAGGGTTCAGTGTCTTAGGACCTTTACAGAACTCTATGTGGAAAGTATCTGCAACTCTGAAGACAAGTGATGTTGACCCATTCCCTAACAGGGAGAAGGCTTGTCATTGCAGAAAACAAGGCTGGTAAACTTGAACAACAATCTATAAGACAGAAAACGGTGCCCGGGCGAATATGACAGTGTGGCCTTTCCTTGGCATCCCCTGGACTCCCCTTGGCATCTAAAATAGATTTCATTGAATGGAGGGATTAGCTGTTCACACACCCCATTAAGGCTCAGTGAAAGCAGAGCCTGTTCAGAGTTACACATTCTCCAGGAATTATTCTGTAGTCCCAAACTTCCTGTTACTGATACCTGGCCATCCTGACATTTGTGCTCATCTAAAAATAGAGAGCAGGGAGGAAGAAGCCAGAGAAGTCAGAGGAAGTGATGTCTTGGATGACTATGTTTCAAATCTCTTGACAGTGGATATTCTCAGTGAGAAGGAATGATAAGGCTGAGTATCTTAAGTCTTCAGGGCTAGGAAGCTGGCACATGGTTGGGGATGTGGTGGCAGTTAGGCCATAGTCACTCTCTGGATAGCCCAGGACGGTCTGTCTTATTTAACCCTCTATCCATTGGATAGGTTCTGTTGGCACCAAAGGGCTTAAGTGAACTCATCAGGACAAATTCTGATCCACAGCATGCAGGGGCATCATAGAGGTGTCACTGCCGTGGTCTGTATAAATTCCAAGTGGCGGCTACTTAGTGTCAATGGAGGTATCCCAAGCTCTTCAGGAAGTGGCAAAGACTTTGCAGAGATCTCTTTGCTAAAGTAATCTGTCTTTATTTAATCATTGTAAGGAGGTAGAACTGGGTGGGTTTACACATCTCCTTCCTTCCTTACAAAGGTGAGGAAGTCAAACAGGGAGCAAGACCTTCTGCAAATGTCAGCCCCAGACTCTGGCAGGGTTGCCATTTTGGTTACTTGTTTTCTCAAGGTTTTCTTTCCACCTTTTAAAGAGCAAGCACACAACACCTGCAAACATTTTATTGAGAGAAAGCTAAGGGCACACCAATGAGATAAAAACAGTCCTAGTTTCTCACTCATCTGCAATATCATATTAAACATGCACAAGCTAAGGGTAGATGGGAAAAAAAGCAGGAGGATATTGTGAAGTTCTTTATAGCTTGAAAGGTGACTAGATTGTAATATTTTAAGTCAGCCTGAGATAGACAAAGAACACACATGATTCCTGACCACTGAGGGCAATGGGGAATCTGTTTATAAGTATTTCCTTGGGGAGCTATTAACTGACCATTCTCTTTCCCTCCTTGTCTTCCACTGCAAGAATGAATTGGAACCTTGATTTTTAGCTCTTGGATTTGATACTCAGCTAATTGAGGGGTATTGTCCATCAAATACTGAAACGGTAAAAGTCTCATGAAGGGCATTCCATAGAGACAGACAGATGTTGGGAATTTTTATCACTTTGGTGAGGCAGAGCTGAGTGTATTAAGTAAGACAGGGAAGGTTGGTGCTAAAGATTCTGAAGGAAACCCTGGTTGTGACCTGCCACTGGCGCACTACCACGCAGGCTAGCCAGGTCTGCTACTGAGCAGTTCCTACCCCTGGCTGGTTGCTTACAGGTCTACGTCTCCATAGCTCCCTTCACTTTCATTTATTTCCATTCTGATTTCTGTGTCCAAAGAGCCACTTTCATTGACCATTCTTCTTTCTTTCTTTTTTGTTTTTGTTGGTCATGGGGCTGGAACTCTGGGCCTGGGTGCTGTCTCTGCGCTCTTCAGCTCAAGGCGAGTGCTCTACTGCTTGAGCTACAGCACCACTTCTGGTTTTCTAGTGGCTTATTGGAGATAAGAGTCTCACGAACTTTTCTACCAGGGCTGGCTTTGAACAGCAATCCTCAGATCTTAGCCTCCAGAGTAGCTATGATTACAGGCATGAGCTGCCAGGGCCCGGCTGACCATTCTTCTTTAATGAACTGTATCAATGGAAGCATTCCAAGTTCTTCAGAAGAGGCAAAGAAAAGGCAAAAACTGATGATGGATGCCCATGTCCAAGAGTTCCCTGAGCACCAGGGCCCCAGTCATGTCTGATTGGTAGTCTTCCAGAGGACATGCTTATCACTGTTTGCATCAGAATGATCTTAACAATCATTCAAAATTCAATTTCTACCAAGTGCTAAAGGCTCATGCTCATAATCTTAGCTACTCAGGAGGCTGAGATCTGAGGAACACAGTTCAAAGCCAGCCCAGACAGGAAAAGTCCATGAGATTCTTATCTCCAATTAACCACCCAAAAGCCAGAAGTGGAGCTGTGGTAGAGTGTGGTAGAGTGCTAGCCTTGAGAGTTAAAGCCAAGAGACAATGGACAGGCTTTGAGTTTAAATTCTAGTGCTGGTGCACATGCACGCACACACACACACACACACACACACACACACACACACACACACACACACACACACTCTGCAAATTTCCAGATCCTGCCCAGATCTCCTGAGTCAGAATGTGAATCAGTATGTGGTGAGGGGGTGGAATTTCCATTTCTGATAAGGAGTGTTGGTGAGCCATCATACACTATATTTTGAGCCCTCCCCACCGCGTTGCTTTCAGTAGTGTGAAGATGGAGGGGGTGGTGCAGAGGCTACAGTCAGTTCATCAACCCAACACCAAGGGCTCCAACCCTTATCTGGACTCCTTCAGTAGATCTCTAAGCTTCTGTTCCCTCTTCCAAAACACAAATGCAGACTGATTATATCTACCAATGGGGAAACTGGGCCTGGTGTGTTATAGGTCTTCAGTAAATGCTAGTGAGTTACATACTCTGGTTACTACAGGAAAAAGGACATGAAGTCTGGCAAAATCAACAATGAAGCCCATGCTTCCGGAGTCCCCTGAGCACCAAGGCATCAGTGACTTCCGATTGGCAGGAGTTCAAAGATTCAGCACTCCTGCTAGGAAAACAAAGTTGGGAAGAGTCCAAAGAGAGGATGGCCTTACAGCAAGAAGAGGGGTGGGTCTGCAGAAGTCAAGGGAAGCAGCCCCAAAGGAGAGCTTGGGAAAGATGTCCCCTCCCTCCATGGAGGCTGAAGGTGTGGGAGGCTAAACCAGCTCAGAGCAGAGGAACTACGGAACTTGTTCAAAATCTGTCACCTTCACACTCTCAGAACCTGACTGGGGCCTAGGAATGTTTCTGTCTTCCGTTGCAGCCATAGAAAAAGAACACAAGGGGCTGGGAAGGTGGCTCAGTGGTAGAGCGCTTGCCTTGCATGCATGAGGCCCTGGGTTCGATTCCTCAGCACCACAGAAGCAAAAAGAAAAAAAGCCGGAAGTGATGTTGTGGCTCAAGAGGTAGAGCACTAGCCTTGAGCTGAAGAGCTGAGGGACAGTGTCCAGGCCCAGAGTTCAGGCCCCACGACCGGACCCAAAAAAAAAAAGAAAGAAAAAGAACACAAGTAAGGCAGGTGCCTTAATCTGAGTCACTGTTCACTCCCACAGAAAATAGAGATTATAAATGCCTTCAATGTAGTCAAAAGTAGTTTTTAAAAACACCAAAAACCTAGAAATACAGTAATTTTCAAACTTCCTGTAAATATAAAGTATGATTCTTGTGTAAATATAGGGAATGATTCATTCTTCCCTCCCTCCTTCCTCCCTCCCTCCCTCCCTTCCTCCCTCTTTCCTTCCTTCCTTCCTTCCTTCCTTCCTTCCTTCCTTCCCTCTTTCCCTTTCTTCCTTCCTCTCTCCCTTCCTCCTTCTCTTCCTTTCTTCTTTAACCACTACCATTCTCCAAAGAGGCACAGATGAGGATGGTCTACAGGTGCAAGTGTCCCAACATTTGGGGAAGCAGGGATCCATGAGCACAGTCTTTTTTCTTTTTTGGTCATGGGGCTTGAACTCTGGGCCTGGGCGCTGTCCCTCAGCTCTTCAGCTCAAAGCGAGCGCTCTACCACTTGAGCCACAGCACCACTTCCAGTTTTCTGGTGGTTCATTGGAGATAAGAGTCTCACAGACACAAATTAAATTAAATTAAATTAAAAAAAAAAGAGTCTCACAGACTTTCTTGCCCGGGCTGGCTTTGAACCACGATCCTTAGATCTCAGCCTTCTGAGTAGCTAGGATTGCAGGCATGAGCCATCAGTATCCTGCTAGTCTTGTGCTAGGAAGTAGAGAGCAAGGACCCTGCGTCCAAGGTAGGAGAGAAGCTTTTCCTGTCCTCATTCTACATGTATGAATCATTAATCTCTTCTGTAAAATGGGGATGATGGGGACAATGCTGTCTGTAGGATTGCTGTGAGGACTAGAATATACAAAACCTGCCAGAGTGGAGAACACACAGTAGATGCTCAATACACCTTTGTGGCTCTTTGTGGCACTACTTTTCCAAACCCAGATTGATTTATGGCCATGATTGATTTTTTTCACTTATCCAGTTTCCATCAGTCTGGAAAGTAGAATCTGTTCAGTCCTTTTGGGACCAGAGGCTGAATTTACTGAGATAAACTAACTGAGCTACACTTGCTGGAGTGAGGATGTCATAGGAACACAGCTCTGTCCTTGTGCTGTGTGTATGTGTGTGTGCGTGCACACACACACACACACACACACACGCGCGCGCGCACGTGTGCAGGCTGGTGTGTTGGGAGTGGTGAGTCAGGCACACTGAACCATTCCTTCAATGTAATATAGCTCCTCAGAGGTGAATGAAGCGCTCTGATTATGTGGTGAAGGATTAAGAGGAAGAGAGATAACAGGAAGAAAGAAATTAGGAATACTAAGCCTGCAAAGTCAGGTGGGACCACACAGTGCCCTTTGAGAACCAGAACTCTGGGTAGAGAAAGGAGCTCAGGGGTAGAGCTCTTATGTGCCTAGGCCCTGGGTGGGCTTCTTCACTCACAAGCATGACAAAACAAACTAATCAGTTTCTCCTGAACCCTACACCTTGATTACTTCTTAGTTTTGTTTTTCTTTTAGTGCTTTACATAACACAAGGGTAAATATCATTCAACACATTTCCAGTCTTGTTTTGTGTTAGTTAAAATTGTAGCAGGAAGAATTTCCTCCATGATCCAGGGGTCAAGAGGGTGTACAATTAGGGTGATCACATTCATGCCAGATTCAAGGATGCTCAGAGCCAAGTCAGGGCTGGGGTAGGTAGGATGAAAACGGGCATCAGAGCACACAAGGGGCACCACTGACCAACTCACCACGCCGATGGAGAAATAGTTGTTCATGATGCTGTACGGGACCTGGTCCCCATTCTCCACTTCCTCTCTGGGGATCACTTCCAGATACCAGCGGTCTAGCATCACCAAGGGGCTCTGTTCGATGTCCTTCAGGATTTTTGTCAGACTTCCTCCTTCATAACCTACGGAGGATGGCATTGCGTTTGTCAGGAGAACAGCAAGGCTAAGTTTCAGGACAGGCTGGGGCATCTGTGGCTAGAGAATCTATAGTATGTCTCTGGACTGAAGACACGGGTTCCCTGACCTATGGAGAAGGGGGTGATAATAGAGAGTGATTAGGAAGAGCTGAGGATGGGAAATTTAACAGCAGGTGAGTGGGTATTATCTAAAGATAGGAAGGCCTGTGGAGCTAACACAGGCCCTACAGAATTGATGGGTTGAATGTATGCTTAACTGTGTGTGGGAAATAAAAAGTCCAGAAAAGAGTATTGTAGGCCAAATGTGAAAATGGCTCCTAGGGCTGGCTCCTGCTTCTTGTTCCTGCTCTCCATGCAAGAACTAATTCTCTTAACAATGATACCACTCAGCCTGGTCTTGAATCACTCAATGAACTGATCAGCCATCTGGAGTTCCAGCCCCTCTTTTGCTTGCCAGATGGATCTGTCTGCTCTGTGCTGAGCTGAACCTCACTCTCCGACGCATGCCCAGTGTCCCCCGGCTGCCGCCATTCCCAAAGCTCTCTTTAGCTCCTTGTTCTGTAAGATAATTACTGCTTTAGGGAAAGTTCAGAAGGAGAGCTCAAGGCACTGGGGACCTGGAATCTTCTAGATGCCCCTAGTAGCTGGCAGTGTGACATTTCAGTCTGTCTTCCGAATCCTAATTCACATCGTAAATTTAAGGGAGGTGGAATTTCATGCTAAAACCATCTAAGTGAACTTCTATGGGATGAACACTGGGGAGAGGACAAATGAATCTTTTCCCTAAAGTTGACTATATCCTTTAGGGGGGAGACAGACTCTAAGCTAATGGTTTCTGGAGGATGGTAAATATGGGGAGGGATGAGCACAGGGCTTCTGGATCCCAGAAGAAGGGTCATAGATTACATATGAATGCCATTGAGAATTACTCTGGAATATTCTACATAAAATTCAACAAAATATTCTACATAAGTACTAGCCCGGCACCAGTGGCTCATGCCTGGAATTCTGGATACTCAAGAGGCTGAGATCTGAGCATCACAGCTAGCCCAAGCAGAAAAGTCCATGAGACTCTTACTGCTAATTAGCCACCCAAAAGCTAGAAGTAGAGCAATGGCTCAAATGGTAGAGTGCCAGCTTTGAGCAAAACAGCTAAGGACAATACCCAGACACTAAGTTCAAGCCCCAGTACCAGAGCGTGTAAGCGTGTATGTGTGCACGCATGTGTGTGTGTGTACTTATACCCACCTGTAAGTGAACTTTGTAGATTATCCCTGTAAATTATTACACCAGTCCCCAGGAAGGTCAGTAGCATGCAGACTCACCTCCTCCCCAGCGAAGACATCGGGCAAGGTCATTTCCTGTTCCAAGAGGCAGGACAGCCACTGGTGGATGCTTTGCAAAGTTGGCCTTATCTGCAACCCACAGAACCATATGGCATGGGATTGCAGCATTTTTGAGTTATTTTGTAATCCCTGATCTGTTGCTCAAACATCTCCAGCTCATTCTTTGTTTGAATACCCCCATGGTGGAGAGTATCTATTCCATCTGTAGTGGATTAACCACTATGAACTATGCCAGCTCTGTCAGTTTCTACTTCACAGTGAACGAAATCTGTCTCCTTGGAACTTGCACCTGTTTATCCAAATATCCTTCTAATTCTGCTCTTCAAAGTGGCAGCACACATCTCATACACATACGTTTGTGTGGTTTTTAACCCTTAGTGATTACTGGCATATGGCTCATTTATCTCTTAAATCACTGCAAATTATGATCCTTCTGCTTGTAGATGAAGAAATAGAGAGCTGGGAACTGGTGGCTCACACCTGTAATCCTAGCTGCTCAGAAAGATGAGCTCTGAGGATTGCAGTTTGAAGCCAGCCCTGGGCAGGGAAATCTGTGAGACCCTTTATCTCCAATTAAGCACCAAAAAAGTTGGAAATGGAGCTGTGGATCAAGTGGTGAAGCATTAGTCTTGAGTAAAAAGGCTAAGGGACAATAACTCAAACCCTGAGTACAAGCTCCAGGACCAGTGCAAACAAGCAAGCAAGCACGCACGCACGCACAGAAATGGGGATTCACTAAGAGAAAGTAATTCCAGAACTAGCATTCAACCCAGATCTCTGTGGCTTCAAGTCTATTTCCCTCCTCTTCTCAGGAGCTTTGGTGATGTATAGATTAGTTAAAAAAAAAACCAACAAAGAATAAAAAGAAAAAAACAACAACAAAGAACACTAAGGAATCGTGGGGTATTTGGAAACCTGAAAATGCTCAAGTAAATCCATTCAGATTTAAAAGGTTAAAACCAGGTGTTCGTGGATCAGGTCTAAAACTAACTACTCAGGAGGCTGAGACCTCAGGATCATGGTCTGAAGTTAGCCCAGGCACATAAATCTGAGAGACTCAGATTTCTAATTAGCAAAAAACAGGAAATGGAGCTGTGGCTCAAGAGGGAGAGCATTAGCTTTCAGCCAAAAAAGCTAAGCCAGAGTGCAAGACCCTGAGTTTAAGCTCCAGTTCTTTCTTTGGGTACAACAAACAAACAAAAAAGATTTCCGTCTTACAATGTCAAAAGATAACATTGTGAAAAACCCGAGCAAACCCTCCAGGTGTTATTGGTACCCACAGACCTAGTTTCTATTTCTACTACTTTTCAGAATGGCAAGTACACAGATTCCTACTCTTTCCTCCACTGAGAGTTGAAGGGGTTATTGGACACAGCTGTGAGAGTAAGCCCAGCAGAGCCTATTTTTATCTGCCTACAAATCTGCAGCAGCATAGTGGCTGGGCAGGAAAGGTTGAAGCGGGCAGCACAGGCACTCATTGGGTTCTGAGTCCATGGGGCCTCTGGATGTCAGCAAAGTGACAAGGCTACAAGGAGTTGCAGGAATCAGAAGTTGAGACTCAAGCTAAAGTTACCCAGGGCAAAATAGGCACTTAGAGTTCCTTCAGGTTGTCTGACCTGTGCTTGAAATGGCTGAGCTCAGGAAAGCTGAGGGCTGAGATAAACACTGCAAGGGTTGAGGTGGAAGAGGAAGCAAGGCCCGATTCTCTCACTGTTGGCAGCTCATGTGATCCGATGTTCTACCTCCCTGCCTTTGTACATGCTATTCTTTTTGCTGGAAGGCTCTTGTTTTCTTATGCCTGTCCCATCTATGGTCCCCACAGTGGCAGGCCAACCATCCTCAGGATGGTTGAGCCCAGAAACCAGTACGTTATACTCAGCGTTGCCTCTTTCTCACGCTCATCCATTTACACATCACTTCCTCATGCTGTTTCCTAAATAGATTTCAAACAGTCTCTTCTCCTCTCTCCACCCCCACAGCAGCACCTGAGTGCAGCCATGATTCCTTCTCCTCTGATCTTTCTCTCCAGTTCCGCTCTCCTGTGTGCTCTGCACATTTCCACACACAGGGTCACAGCCCTGTCATGGACACACATTCCTCAACCTCGGTGGCAGCTTCCTATTACCATTTAAGACACACACACAGGCCCAGGATCCAGACTCTGCCTTCCCCAGGCCTGATCTTCCACTCCATAAGCTAACCATCCACAAGGGTTTTCAGCTCCCTAAATCACAGAGATCTTCGCTGCTTAGCTTCGAATCCGCTTCTAGGAGGTGTCCCCAGGTTGCTCCAGTCTGGGCCTGCTGCTTTGCCAGGGTTTTCTTAGCACCTGGAGTCTCATCATACTCTCCTATAATGATCAACTTGTTTGTTCCAAGAACGGACTGTTAACCTCCGGCGGACTGGGCCTCACTCACCACGTCAGCTCCACATGAGTTAACAAATGCCAGAGGCTGGGTCATGCACAGCCTTTGAGGATGGACAACAACAACAACAAAGTCCTGGCTCAGGCTCTGAGGGTGTCTACAATGCAGGGGGGGGGGACCGATCGTGTGAGATCTCATGGAAAGAAGGTGTACCTCCATATTCCTATTAGAAAGGAAAGGAGCACCGTCCTATAACGAGGGATTCAAGGCTAGCAGGGATGTAGGGGTTGCCCCCAGAGGAAGCTCTCCCTTCAGCTGAGGTCTGAAGTGGAAGCTAACAGAGCAAAGGCAGGAAGTGGGGGTGGGGGTGGGTGGGGAATGCAGGCAGGTGGATCCGCGTGGGTAGGGCCCTTAGGTGGGGAAGCATGCGGTGTGCTCCAGGGGCTGAGAACAGGGCAGAGTGGCTGGACTGCTGAGGGACACAGATGAAATGATGGGAGGGCAGAGGCGCCAGTGGAGCACCCAGGGCCCTGCGGATCATCTGGAGGGCCTTTGTCTCTAGTATAAGAGGAATGGAGGCCAGGTAACCCTAGCTAACTCAGAAGGCTGAGATCTGAGGCTCCTGCTCTGAAGCCAGTCTAGGTGGAAAAGTCTGTGAAACAGTTATCTCCAATCAACCAGAAGTAGCCATGTGGGTCAAGCGAGAGAACATCCGCCTTGACTGAAAAAGCTGAGGAAGAGCACAAGGTCCTGGGTGTAAGTTACAGTACACACACACACACACACACACACACACACACACACAGAGTAATGGGATATGCCTTATGAATGTTTATCACAAACCCACCAACGTTCAGGAAAGAGCACTGTGGTTGTTGGTGGGGGTTGTGGAGTTGGGCGCGGTCAGAGAGAGGACCCCTGGGATGCTGGGGACCATGGAGGGCTTGAGTATATATGTTGAGTGACTGAAGGAATGCTCTGTGTAGTTAATCCTTTCTTCTTCCACGTTACACAATCTTCTCTCTGTTTTGAGCAGCTTCTGTCACCTGTGTCTGTGCAGATGAGTTCTGGCAACCCCCCACTCCCCCAGCTTGCGTTCTCTCTCATGATGGAGAGCAGACCTCTGCCGATCAGCCTTTCTCTCCCCTACTCCCAGAAGACTCCGCCCTCCTCCCACCAACAACTCCAGTCTAGGTGACAGCAGAGCGGGGGTGGCTGTTCAGCAGGCCCGTGTCCATGGAAACCAAAGCTGGAGGGAGGGGTGGGGGAAGCAGCCTGTGGTAGGTGCACCTGCTCCCCTCCAGGGGGGCCCCTTACAGTCAGGGATGCCTGGCTTCCTCTGCCTGGCTCTGGGTCTAAGCCTGGCTTATCTCTGACCCCTCTAATTCTCTCATCTCCCATTTCCAATCTGTCAACAAACCCTGTAGGTTCCACCTCTAGCCACCTTTCACCACCTTCCACGTCTACTGTGGCCAGGTTCTGGCCACCTATTGCCAGGGTCACTATAGTAGCCTCTGAAATGGTCCCGTGCTCTGCCCTGGTCCCTTAATTTGTCACATTCCTCTTTGCTCAAAATCACCCACCCTCGTAGGACTCTCCGGCTCAAAAAGCCATGCTGTATGTCATGTCCCACTTGTCCACCTGACCCTGACCTTTCATTTCAGCCATGTCCTCTGCTGAGGCTACTCTGGCCTGCCTTCAACAGCTCAGCCTGTTTATACCTCAGGGCCTTTGCACATGTTGCTCCCTCTGCCTAGACTCCTCCTCCTTCAGGCATCTAGAGAACTCAATCCAACTTTTAAGTCTCCATGTAATTTCTTTCTGTGAGGTTTTTCCCTAGCTACTCAGTTTGAGATTGTAACCCCACCTCTGCCTCTGTTTTGCTGCCTTCCCTATTATTATTGTTATTTTTGTTAACTACTCTGACAGTCTACATCGTTTTTGGTTGCCTGGTTTTTGACTCTAGGTTCCATGAGGCTGGGATTTTTTGGGTGTGCCATTTTGTTCACTGCAGCATCTCTAGTGTGCAGCAGAGGGCTTGGCACGTAGAGGTGCACGGGAAGTGTTTGCAGGATGAACGACAGAAACTGGGAGCAGCCTAGGGCTTAGACTCTGCCCTATCTAACAGTGATGCCTGCTCTACCAGTGCTGTGATGCCCGTAAATTCCACAGTGTTTATCTGGGTTATGCCCTCATCCCAGAAGTTCACAGATGGTCTCTCTCACTTTCAGGGAGTGATGTGTCAAGGCCCCATGGATCCAGGAAGGTCTAGGAAGAATTCAGGTATCCAGACTCCCAGCTTGGACAAATCTCCTCACTGCTGTTTTTTTGTTTGTTTGTTTGTTTGTTTGTTTTGGGTCCGCTTGTAGGGCCTGAACTCTGGGCCTGGGCGCTGTCCCTCAGCTCTTCAGCTCAAGGCTAGTGCTCTACCACTTGAGCCACAGCACCACTTCCGGCTTTTTTTACTTTTTGCTTATGTGGTGCTGAGGAATCGAACCCAGGGCCTCATGCATGCAAGGCAAGCGCTCTACCACTGAGCCACCTTCCCAGACCCTCCCCACTGCTGTTTTGATCTACATGTACAGACACAGCCCAGAATGAACTTTCTTTGCCTGAACTCATCTGTTGTTTGCAGATGTGGTCTCTAGACTCAGGTTCTGGTGAGCTTCCCTGGGCTACGCATCTAGACTTTCCTGTCCGGTCTTCACCATCAGCCTCTGCCTGGAGTCCTGCTTTCAAATCTAATCTGTCCATGACAGGTATGCTTGTGAGGCCAGGCCTGACACTAACTGATGATGTCCATATTCATAGGAATCTTTCTTTACTTTTCTATCCAAAGCAGATAGGTAGTCAAACATCAGTCCAAAAGTGGATACAAAGATGATACAGATATGTTCCATTTCTTTTACTGCCTTCTGCTGATTTTAAATATATTTAATAGAAATAACCAGTAAAAGCCCTCCCAACCCATTCTTACCAATGCAATCCAAAATCCAGCCAACTGTCCCATCTCCCCCGCAGGCTAGAACACGGAAGTCTGGGGTATCATGGAAGAAGTTCAGTCTGGGAAGAAGAAGAAAGGCCACAGTGGCCTTGTTACAGGTTGTGGATGACATTTGATACTTGTTGAGTCCCAGTCTCCCTGTGCTCTGGAGTAAGTTGCAACTTAGATTGTTTGGGGGTAGGAAAGAGTCACTTGACATTCTGAGACCAGACGTCACTACGTCACTACGCACTGACCTTGACTATGGAGCAGAATCCAAGGAGCCAGTCTCCTATGAGGAGAATCTGACCCCACACCAACACAAACAGAAAACAGTTATCTAGAAGTTCTCTACTATTCAGACAGATGCATGCATAATTGTGCATTTTGACACGAAATAAACAAACCATCCTTTTAAGATGTCTATTTTATCCCTCTGACTTCCCTTTAAGTGCGAAGCACTGAATTAATAGAACTTCATTTGGCTCTTCGGTGGGCCCTGACCTAATTGGACCACAGCTGCTTTTGCTGGAAAAGTGTTGACCCTTAAGAGCAAGGCTCTTGACCTGGGGACCATTAACTCCCAACCATCTGTGCTTAAAATTCAGAAGGTCATGGACTTGAAGTAAAAAACAAAAACAAAACAAAAAACATTTGGTGGTCTCTAAGTGCTAATTGAAAATTTGCATTTCTTTCAATTATAATGTAGACAACAAACCAGGGAAGTATTAACAATGTCTGAAAGTTTATGGCAGCTAAAAATCACAAGTACTAATGTAGTCATTACTAATCGTGATATATTAAATGTATATTTAACATGTAATTTTATTTATTTATTTATAAATAAATATTTTTTTTGTCAGTTGTGTAGCTTGAACTCTGGACCTGGGCGCTGTCCCTCAGCTCTTCAGCTCACGGCGAGCGCTCTACCACTTGAACCACAGCACCACTTCAGGTTTTCTGAGTGGTTTATTGGAGATAAGAGTCTCATGGACTTTGCTGCCTGGCTAGCTTTGAACCATCATCCTCAGATCTCCGCCTCCTGAGTAGCTCGGATTACAGGTGTGAGCCACTGATGCCCAGTTAGTGAATAATTTTAATGTCTTGCTAATATATGTTAATGCATTAGCAGCCTATACACCATCCTAACATTGGTCTGAGAAGACGCTTAGGGCTCTAAATAAGGGATACACATGCAAGCAAATCACCATTCCTTCTCTTCCAGTCCCTGGCAGAAGAACTCTGCTTTCCCACAGAAGTGAATTCAGAATGGAGGCTCTCTCCAGAGACATAGTCTTTGAGTTACAGATGGGCCCCCTGCTGGTGGCTCCTAAGTGCTTTTGAAAGTAGACCTGAGCTTGGTAAAAATAACTTACTTGTTAGAGACTGAATTCAGGTACTAAAATACCCTAGAAAAAAAATTGAGCCAGTAAGGGCACTTGCTTCTCACGTGCAGTAAGTGGTACGCACAGAGATGGTGACAGCAATTGCCCAAGTCTAGGTGGGTTCTGTTTGGAAGTAAGTTTTGTCAGTGAGTCATGGCAGGTCTACTGAATCTGCACTCGTGTTTTTCTCCTTTTAACTGGATCTTGCACTGCTACTGTCATGAATAACTTGTTTGTGTCAGACAGTCATAGTAAGGAAGAGATTCCATTTTTAGAGTCCTTTCTCAAGCCCCTGGGAGGAGTCTCACAAGTTCACCTTAGAAAAGCAGAGTAGGAGGTAGGAAAGCCCAGTCCAGCAAGAGCAAACAGCCTGGCAGAAAGTGGCCAGCAGATGGCGCTAGAATACTAGCTCTGACGGGAAGGAAACTAAATCTTTCTGGTCCTTCCATTGGGATGCACGCTGGATCCCTAATGACATAGATGGTCTCATCATGTCAGCCACACAAAGGGACCAGCCCATTCCCACCAGACCTTTAGTCAAACCACAGTGGGACTTCCAATCTCACTGCTAGGAAAATATCACAAGCCTGTAGCAGGAAGAGAGAGGCTAAGAAATTGAATAATCCCATAATAAGATGCACAGAACAACAGAACTCCAAGCCCCTACAGATTTCCAAATAGTTTGATAAGCACAATAAGAACACTATTTCTCCTCCTTAGTGACAAATCATGAAGGTACCAGCTAGCAGACCCCATAACTAATAATAATTCATCAGCCAGCCCTTCCTGTCAACCAAATGAATGGTATAGGCAGTTTTCCCTTCTTACAAAAGCAACAACTTTTCCAGTAGCAAGGCACAGGAGGCCATTTCTCAAATAGTGGTAAGGGGTGTGTTCTGAGTATTTCTAGGCATAACCGAAAGATGGGAGGAGGGATGAGTTGAGAGGGATTAGAAAGATGATAAGGGAAGATTTCTTCACTAGAGATATAAACAGGGGGAGGAGGAAAGGTATAAAAAGTAAAGATTGTCGTCTCATACCCTGGAGTGGGACCTCCATTGTCCAGGTTGAAAACTTGTTTAGGGTTGAGTAGGTAGTAGAATTTCCGAAGAATTCTATGGGAAAAAAAGGCACAGGAAGGGAGGGAAGAAGGGAGGGAAATAAGAAGAGAGAGAGAGAGAGAGAGAGAGAGAGAGAGAGAGAGAGAGAGAGAGA